GCGTGCTGCTGGCAGCGAAATAAGAACCTGATGCAGGAACGGCCACCTCAAACCACTTTTGGTTTTCCTCACAGTCAGCTGGTTCCTTGCCTCTGGCTGTCTGCGTACACACCTCCACGCGGTGGTCACGCAAGGTCTGTCTGTCTCTGCAGGTTGCTCGCTGCAAACAGCTCATCTGTGACCCCAGCTACGTCTCGGACCGCGTAACGAAGGTCGGCCAAGTGATTCGGGTAATCTGCATCTTGAGCCACCCGATCAAGAATACAAACGATGCCAACTCGTGCCAGATCATCATTCCACAGAATCAAGTCAACCGAAAATCAGGTGTGTGGAGAGTGGGAACTGCGGGGGTGTGCGCAGTTCTCCTCACGCTTGGGTTGAGGCAGAGCGGTCGGTAAACGGCCTCGCGCCAACCACACGCTCTGACAGTCTGGTAAATATGAATCAAACGGGAGAATGCGCTTACTGCTGCTCCTGTGGCAGACTTCACGTCCTTGTCCAGAAATCCTTTAGGCCCCAGCGAGGCTGGGCTTTAGTTTAGAGCAGCGGTTGGGGGCGAAGCGGGGATGCCTGTGGTCAGAAAGGCGTGTGAGGAACCCGCTGAAGGAAGTGCCCCAACCTGGGAGAGGTGGGTGAGGAGCACGGGGGTGCTCTGGGAGGGGGGCGAGGGCTGAGTGCAGGAGGGGAAATGCTTCCTCGCCCTTGAACAGAGGGGTGGGCTGGCTGCTAGGGACCCCGCCGGCTTTCAGGAGCCGTCATAGCCACAGGAAACAGAATTTTGGCGATCTCACAGCAGGGCTGCTCGTGTCCGTGCCCCTGAGCCAAGAGACTGAGAGCGCATAGGCCTGCGGGGCAAGGAGAGAACTCGTTCAAGCGTGGTTTTAAACGAGACAAGGAGGTACCAAGCGTCTGGGGAGCAGGCAGAGGCGCATGAGCGTGCAAGCTAGAGGAGGTTTTTGCGATGAGGCCGTTGGCTTGCCTGGCGCATACTGACCCGCTGCTGTGGTGTGCTTCCCCAGATATCTACGTCTGCATGATCTCCTCCGCGCACAACGTGGCAGCGCAGGGGAAGTACATCGCCATCGCCAGCACTACTGTGGAAACCGCGGACCCAGAGAAGGAAATCAAGCCGGCCTTGGACCTCTTGGAGCCCATTGAGCAGAAGTAAGCCCTCTACGAGCCCTCTCTCCCCCTTCTCGCCTCGCTGCTCTCCGCTGCGAGCGCTTGGGCCTGAGGCGTGAAGGCAGAGGGGATCCGAAGGCCGTTTGGCTGCACAGAGGTGCTGAAACTCTGAATTTCCTCTGCACCTTGACTGCTGACGCCCTTCAATTCAGCCGTTCTTGTGCCCATACTGATGCTCGGCGATGCTTTAAAAACCATTCTGAAGCTCTTTTTTTGACTCCTTCCAGGTTCGTTAGCATCAGTGATCTGTTCGCACCGACCGACTTGGGAACCGAAAGCCAGGTTAGTGAGCGCCGAGCTCGTGTTTGAGGGGTTGAGGAGAGAGGCTCGATGCTAAACTGCTGCTTCTCTTTCCAGATCTTCATTTCTCGCACCTATGACGCCACCACTCACTTTGAGACGACGTGCGATGACATCAAAGATATTTATAAGAGGATGATGGGATCAGAGTTTGACTTCGAAGAGATGAAACGCAAGAAAAATGATATCTATGGGGAGGAGGAGCAGCAGTAATGAGAATCTCTAATTAGGAGAAATTTAAATCGGCTAATATGAATATATAAGGAACTTAATGAACACTGTATGAAATTCAATATTGTAAGGCCTGCTTTTGTAATCCCATCTCTGAGAGATTGAAGAGTACTGCACTGGTAATGTTCCCCTTTTGGATATCATGTGTTAATTATTTCATTCTAGGAGGGCTGCTGTCCAGAATCTGGCAAATTACTGACCGATTTAATGACTAACCTCGTAAGCGAAAGGCAGACTGAACTTTTTTGTTTGTTTGTTTGTTTTTGCAGACATAGACGTTGGTGCAGATTTGAAATAACTCATTGACAGCTGTGTCTTACCTTGTATTTTTAATCATTTGTAAACATCCTTCACAATTATGTGCTTCTGGTGAGCTAGTAGATGTGACAGTTGTCACTCAAACCTGGAAAATAGAAACTGAGCACTCCATTATTGTGGACAGCATCCCTAAAGTCTCTTCCCATCAATCTAACTTTGTGGCGAGTTGTATTATGGACAAAGCCCACATCTATTGTAGCAGCAAATGTTGGCTTAGTTCTGGGCACAGAACTTAACCTCCACTTAAGCTTCTAAAACTGTTTACATCGGTTGGGACACAGCTGTGCCTAAGGCTCCTTTGTGTTTTAATCTTAATAAAATTGAGAGAACAAATTACAGAGCAGGCAAGATGTGGAAGTATTTTCTGTACCCTGGTGGCTTCTCGGATGGACCAAACGGCACTGCGGTATCGATATGACAGAGCCTGTGCGTCTCGTGTCTCCTGAAGGCTCCAAATGATTTCTGTACTGCGAAGTAAAGCCAAATTCTGGAAACCAGTCCTGTGCTCTGGTCTGATTCACTTCAGTTGTAGGAGCAGCATCTCCTTTCCGAGATCCCTTGGATCTCCGCCTGCCAGGGTTGAACCGGGAGCGGTGCAGAGCATTTCCTACTAGAAAACAGGCTCCGACTTCCTCGCTTGGGCTTCCCTGCCCCGGCTGCTCCAGCTGCTCTGGGGCTGCTTTTGGCAGGGGAGAAGCTGCGGCAGCACAGGGCCTGCTGCTGTGGCTAAAGCCGGGGCTAGGCACAAGCCTGCTCGCTCCCTGCAGCCCCCCTCTGTGCCTACATCCAAAAATAGCACTTGCTTGAAGCGGCAGTAAGTAATTCGTGCTCTCACGGCTCCTCTGCAGGGTATTGATCGCTGAATAAGTGATGCTCCTCTTCCGAGCAAGTCTTATCGCTCCCCCGGCTTGAATCTTGCGGCCTGAAGCGCTCCTGCTGTTGGGCGGCCGGCGTACAGTGAGGAGCAGGGCTCGTGTTTATACACGGTGATGCCAAGTGCCAGGGGAAAAAAAAAACCAGAGAAAGTGCCTTGGAACAGCTTTCTCCTGCTCTCAGCTGCTGTGCTTGGCCAGGTAGGTGCTGGTAAAGGGCTTCTCCTTCCCTTCGGCCGTAGCCGTGCCACTCTCCTGCTGCCGCTGAAGAGGAACTGGCTCTTTGACCGCATCTCCTTCACAAAGCGGCGCTGTGCTAAACCTGGCTGCGGCTGCCCCTTTCCTTCCTCCCTCCCTGGCCTTGGCGGCTTTTGGTGCTTCCTCCCTCCCTGGGCACCGGGTCTAGGAATGACCTTTCCGTTTCAAGCCGCTGGTGCCTGCATTGCCGGAGCGAGGCACGCAGCGGTGGCTGGGGGAATTCTCCCTTGCCTTGCGCTTCCTCTCTCCAGCTGCTTCAGGGCTCAAGGTCACCAAGCTGAGCCTGTTCAAAGGCAGGACAGACCTTAAATCAGACCTTAAATCATTCTGTTACCCCTCTCCGCTGTAACCTGCTTATTCCTCTGGCTCCCGGTGCCCCTTTCCTGCGGGGAAGGAGGAGGGTATTGATCCTGCAGCCCCGAGGCTCCGGGTGCCCACCGCTGTTGGTGCTGAGCCATCTCGCTCGCTCATTCCGGCGTGAGCGTCGAAGCTGGGGGTAATGCAGAACAAAGCTGATGTCTGGTCTACGTCTGAGCTGGGAACACTGCCGTACTCCACCGCTGAGGGTGGGTGCTGAGTGGGAAGCCCCTCTCCAGGGAGCAGCGGTGCGTGAAACTTAGTTTTTACTTTTTTTGTTGTTGTTGTTGTTGTTGTGTTTCATTTTGGTTTTTTTTTTAATTAGTCAAACTCTACACAAAGTCTTGCATCCTTTTATTAAAATTAAAAAAGAGGACAACCCTGTCCTCCACAGCCGTATGTTACAAAGGTTTTTTTAATGCGGCGTTTTCTTCCTGGTGCGCATTTGAGCTACCACAAGTAAGAGGTGGTGGGTTTTTTTTGTTTGTTTGTTTGTTTTGTTTTTTTTTTTTTGTTCCCACACCCTGTGGTCTGGCTGTTTACAAGCCTTCCGCGTGCTGGAACGCGCTCGAGTCCCAGCAGTGAAATAGTACCGAGAGGCAACACAGAGGACTTGACACGTAGTGTAGAGCGGGCTGCCGCAGGCTCACCGACACTCAGGTGATGGTCGCTAACACCCATTTAAAACGTACACCCACCCCAGCGACTAACGCATGCGTCTTGTGTACGGGAGGTACAGCAACAGCCACGTGGAAAATAATGCATTTATCGTAGGCTTGTATTGCTTCTAACCTTCAAGTAAACGGCTTTTTTTTTTTATTTTTATTTTCCTATTTCTTCCAAGGTCAGCTGCACTAATCACTTGAAAACAATAATTTAAAACTGTGTAATGTTAAAATAGCTTCTGTCCTATATGCAACTTGACGGCAGGGAGTAAATCCCCGGGAAGATTTGCATTAGCCATCTTTAAATAACTTCTTTACACAGAACTAGAGCCCACCTTCCCCCGCCACCTCTCTGTGCCCGGCTCCTGTGGGCAGCACCCAAAACCCACCAGGACGTCGGGGCCATCCCGCAGAGGACCAGGACACCCAAACCGGCGCCGCGAGGCCCGGGGAGGAGCCGCACCGTGGCTTCGCTTCGTCACCTGCAACACAGAGACGTGGCACAAGTTATTGCTCCGCTCCCCTCCTCACTCCGGGCAGCGCTGACTTCTTGCAGAGCTTCCCCGAGGGAAGCGCCGGCGTGTTTCCCGTTGCCAGCGGTGCCGAGCACGGCTCGGCTGAGCACGGGCCCTCCCGGGTACGGCTTCAGGAGTCGGCCCTAAGTGTTGGCAGAGCCGGAGCAAATCCTACAGCCAGCCCCTGGGAAAGGTCCCGGCTCTGCTGCGGGACCCCACCTCCCTGCCCGCCACCCTGTAGAAAACCTGGGAGCTTCCCCCGGACTTTTGGGGGAGAAGGGGACAATCCTGACCTCCCCCACTTACCAGTAGCTTCTTCTAAACGGGGCAGCTGCTTTCTGCACCGTCCCAAGGAAGGTGTTGACGTCGGCCACAAGGATTCCTTTGCTTTCAAGGACCTCCCTGCTGACGCTGGGCTTTTCTGCAAAGGAAGGAGCGGCACCGTAATTGAAACAAGCAAACGAGGTTGTTCTGAAACCTACAGAAAACATCCCCAAATCCCACCGCAGTTATTCTGGTTTGCAACTGTGAGCAGCTTAACAGCGCTGCTTTGCAAACAGGCTCAGCCCAGCAAGGCCAGAATTAGAGCGTGACGTAAAGCCATCCGCAGGCTCAAAAAATTGCCAGAATTCACCAGCGCTCCAAAAATCATTTTGCCTTTTACTGCATTGACTTGCAATGCATCAACTCACACCTTACCCGTGATTCTAACAGAAATGGGAGCAAACCGGGTGATTCTTGTCCCTCCTCCACCGCCTCCCCAGGCCAATTTAAGACAGTGCTTGTGGGGGTTGAGGGCACCAGCACAGGGCAGCACCCATAGCCCACCCTTACCTGTGAGATACACAGCGAACCTGGCGCCAACGTGCTGAACTTGCAGGTTCAACAAACACTTGACGTACTCGGACTTGGGGGACGACCCGGAGTCACAGGCATGGTAGTGCAGCACCTCGATGAGATCGGTTCCTTGGCACAATTTGAGGATTAAGTGCTTCTTGCGGGCATTGGCGTCCACCCTGCCGGGAGAGGGGCAAGGTGAAGTGGCAAGGGGCTTCGCCACTCTGTCCCCTCCCAGGGAATGAGTGGGTATGACGGGACCTGCCTTTCCCCCCTCCGTGTGTTTCTTCCAGCCTCATGGGTGCCTTTACGCTTGCTACCTTGCGCTAAACAGAGATGGCAGGAGCGGGTGTCACCGTACGGATCGTGCGTGCAGCAGGAAATCAAAACGATCCCTTGCTCAAGGCAGCTCCAACAGACCGCGACTCGTTATCCCACCACAACGGAGTCGAGAGATGCTATGTGAGTGCCGTTGACAGAGCACAAAGAAAATGTTTGCTCCACAGCAGCATCCACTCTGCACAGGTTGAGTCCTCATCTCACAGACGGCTATAAAATACCCAACCCCGAGCTTCTGCGACATCTCACCACTCAAGGACTGAAAATCAGGTCTTCAGAGCGATTACTTTGTGCTATCACCATAAAGGCTGAGTGTGGAGAGGATCTGAGATGTCATTTGTTGTAGCATCTTCTGCTGTGGTGGGTTTGACCTTGGCTGGATGCCCGGTGCCACCAAGCCACTCTATCACTCCCTCCTCAGCAGGACAGGTGGGGAGAAAATGAGATGGGGAAAAAAGAAAAAAAAAAACCCAACCCAAAACTTTGTGGGTCAAGATAAAGGCAGTTTAACTAAAAAAAGGCAAAAGCAAAGGCCGCATGCAGAAGCAAAAAAAAGGAAACAAAGATTTTATTCTCTACTTCCCATCAGCAGGCAATGTCCAGCCACTTCCTGGGAAGCAGGGCTTTGGTACGCATAGTGGTTGCTCCAGAAGACAAATGTAAATAACGAATGTCCCCCCTTCCTCCTCCTTTCTCTTAGCTTTTATTGCTGAGCGGACATCACAGGGTATGGAATACCCCTTTGGTCATTTTGGGTCAGCTGTGCTGGCTCTGTCCCCTCGCAAGATCTTGCCCACTCCCAGCCTACTGGTGAGGGGGGAATGTTGGAGAGACAGCCTTGACGCTGACTGCTCAGCAGTAGCCAAAACACGGGTGTGTTATCAACACCTTTCCAGCTACCAATGCAAAGCCCAGCACTATGAGAGCTGCTGTGGGGAAGATTAACTCCATCTCAGACCCACTACCTCTGCTCAGACAGACCAGACCAGTTTCCTCTTTGTTTGCAGGTCGTACTAGAAAGCCATCCTTTCTGGCCCGTGGTCTGGCATTAACAAAGGCAGCCTGCCTGACAAAAAAGTCCCCCTCTGACTTCAAACATGATAAAAGCAGGACACTGCAATGGAAAATTGTGCTCGTTTTGGCTGGGGTAGAGTTCATTTTCTTCACAGTAGCTGGTATGGGGCTATGGCTTGGATTTGTGCTGGAAACAGTGCAGATAACACAGCGATGTTTTAGTTACTGCCGAGCAGTGCTTCCACAGAGCCAAGGCCTTTTCCGCCTCCCACCCACCCCACAGCGAGCAGGCTGGGGGGCACAAGGAGCTGGGAGGGGACACGGCCGGGACAGCTGACCCCAGGGATGTCCCACGCCGTGTGGCCTCATGCTCAGCACACGGAGCTGGGGGAAGCAGAAGGAATTGGGGACGTTCGGAGTGATGGCGTTTGTCTTCCCAAGTCACCGTTACGCGTGATGGAGCCCGGCTTCCCTGCAGATGGCTGAACACCTGCCTGCCCATGGGAAGCAGTGAATGAATTCCTTGCTTTGCTTTGCTTGCGTGCGCGACTTTCGCTTTCCCTATTAAACCGTCTTTATCTCAACCCACGAGTTTTCCACTTTTATCCTTCCGATTCTCTCCCCCATCCCACAGTGGGGGAGTGAGCAAGCGGCTGTATGGGGCTTGGTTGCCAGCTGGAGTTAAACCACAACAAAAACATTTGCCCTCTTACTTCTCTTTTTCAAATGGCATCTTTTAAATACACATTGTTGCAAATAACCTAAAATAAGTAGCAAATACAAACAGGAGAAGTTCTGCTTTTCCCAGCAGGGTTTGATTTTACGTGCTCCCCAAGACACCCCAGTTCCTCTCCACGTTACAAAGTCAGAGCTCCTCATCGCTCACCCAAATCAGACAAGCGATGGGACAGAAAAAGAAACAGCAAAGAGACAGCGGGGCAGTGGGAGGCCCGGGAAGGCACCCCGAGCTCCCGGGGTGTGTGTGTGTGCAGGACCTGGGGTGAGCTGGTGGGAAGGGGCAGTTTGCAGAGGCAGCTTTCGGAGCGTGCAGCTCCGCAGACGAAATTTGTGCCTTTCCTCAAGCCACTTGCAGGCTGTAACGCTCACAGAGGGCGTCTCTGCCAAACAGAGGAGAGGAACTGCCTTATGGAGATACAGCGGGGTGCAAGAAGCAGCTGCCAGAGCTCTGCCTCATCCAGGATCACGTGCAAGACGCAACATTTCAGGCCATCTGATCCTCTGCAGGTCCAATGTCCTGCTGCTCCATCTCATATCGGTATTAAAAAAAAAAAAAATCTATCGCACTTTACTTGCAAATGCTGACCTCTGGCAATTCCAGACTTGAGGCACACGGTCACTCACTGATAAGAAAAGTTCTTACTTAAACAAAAATCTTCAAATTCATCTTCTAAGAGGCCAAAATCCAACCAGAGGCACCTAACTCGCCCTGTGCCCCTGCACTGAGTGCAGCGAATGGGACACCACACTCCACCACGGTGGGCGCGTCCTTGCTGCGGTGACGAGGACAGCGGGGATGAGGGAGCTGCCACCGCAGAGCCCTTACCTGACATCTCTGAGCTTCTTGCTCTCCTTGTAGTGAAGGAGCCACTTCCACCTCCCGCTTCTGTTCAGCTTCTCCAGCACCTTCACTACCTCTTTCAGTTGGCCTGGGGAGACAGCAAGAACCGGAGGGTAAACTGAGGGTGGAAAGGGTGCCTGGGGGTCTCTGGCCCAACCCCTGCTCAAAGCTGGGACACCTGAGGTTGCTCAGGGCTTTGGTTAGGTGAGGTTTGAAGATCTCCAAGGATGGAGATTCACAACCTGGGTCGTGAAACTGGGATCCTGTCCTGGTGTTTGAACACACTTGCTGTGAATTTTAAACTAAAGGAGGGTAGATTTAGACAAGGAAGAAATTTTTTACAATGAGGGTGGTCAAGCACTTGAACGGGTTGCCCAGAGAGGTAGTGGAGGCCCCATCCCTGGAAACATTCCAGGTCAGGTTGGACGGGGCTCTGAGCAGCCTGATCTGGTTAAAGCTGTCCCTGCTCACTGCAGGGGGTTGGGCTGGATGAGCTCTAAAGGTCCCTTCCAACCCAAACCATTCTATGATTCTATGATTTTTTTTTTCTTCCTAATAAGTAAAAGAGCAACTTGTCCCTGTCACCTCTTGTCCCATCACTGTGCATCTCCAGGAGGAGCGTGGCTCCATTTTCTCTGCCCCTTCCTATTACGGAGATGAAGACAGCAACTAGGTCTCCCCTTTGCCCTCCCTTCACCAGGCTGAACGTCCTTGTACCACCCCTGCTCCAGCCCCTGACCATCTTGGTGGCCCTTGCTGTACTTGGATGTTTTTGGAAGCCCAGACACGGACCCGCTATCCAGATGGGGTCTACAAATGTCAAGCAGAGGGAAAAGCAGGAGCAGAGGACACCCATGGCAAGTTTTTGGAAGGTGTTGGCAAACCAGTGGACAAGGCCAGGAGCCAACACTGTGTGTTTGCATCCAAGCAAGAGGCCGTAGTGAGACTCACCCAGCGTTACTGTTTCCAACACCTCGTTGTCAGACACCACGAAGCCACCGGTATGAAACAGCTCCTGGTACGTGCGATCTGTTATATCTTCGGGGCTGTCCACTCCGGCAAACACCACGTTCGGACAGTGCTTTAGCTCCAGCAAGCACGGGACCTGTTCGAGGCAGACACGCTTTTGTGCACACAGCTGCGTTTCAACAGCATTTGCACCGCTCTGCAGTTCACACCGCTCCTGGGAGACCCGGGGAGCCCACCCCGTCCTCTGTCTGCGTCACCCTGGCTCTCGTGTCTCCATAGCCTGACCCCAAAGCTGTGGACGATGGTACGGGGAGCTACCGGCAGCTCAGTCTGCCGCAATATTCACTGGCTCCCATGAGCCAAAGCCTGGCTGAACTGCTCCGTTACACAAGATAAGCCCAGCCTGACTCCTCTGAGCTGGGCTACTCCAAATGATGTTATTCAGTGATCAAAAATGGAGACAGAAGAAAAGTAGAACTGACAGGCTTCATGTTTTTGAGACATTTGTTTTTAACAGTTCTTCATGAAGCACTGTTCTTTCAGTGGAGAGAACAGTGTATCCGCAGAGACTGACAATTAAATCTACAGCTATATATAGTGTAAAATTTAAAAACCTTTAAAATGGATCCTGATATTCAAAAATGCTGCCGGTAGAAAAAAAGGACGGACTCAGGTCTTACATTGTGGATATGTGAGGAAATGTCCTCGTTCCTGATGATGACGAGCAGCCTGTCAGCATCCAGGTGTTTCGCTTCACAGAAGCTCAGAGGCTCGATCTCCATGTGGCCGTCTTTCTTCAGCAAGGTCTGAAACAGAAATCATTGCAGCACGTAAGAAGTTTTTTTGGGACATGGTTTAGTGGACATGGTGGTGTTGGGTTGATGGTTGGACTGATGATCTCAGAGATCTTTTCCAACCTTAATGGTTCTGTTCTAGTTTCACTTTCATTAAAAAATAATCCAGCCACCAAACCAGGAAAGATGAAATTAATTATGACTCTACCCTTAGTTGGTTTAGAGGTGGACTTGGTAGTGTTAGGTTAATGGTTGGACTGGATGATCTTAAAGGTCTTCTCCAACCTGAATGACTCATTCTATGATTCTAAGGTTTGTACGGAGAATATCTTCACAATAGTGGTGCCACACTCCTGGCGTACATGTGCCTGGGGAGAGGAGGGAGGAGCATGACAGCAACCCCAATCAGACACCCTGGTGCCAAGGGCAGCCTACGGTGTCTGTCTGTCAAAAGCATGGTGTGCTCCAGGCTGGGGCTCCAGCTGGAGGTGGAGGAAGCAGCCATTTACCTTTGTTGACAAAAACCTTTTAGAAAACCACCTCAAGCATCTCACTGTACCATGCATGAAGCCTCCTTGCTATTTTGGAGCAGCAAAATCTTCCCATGCAATCACCCTCCCCGAGTTTCGAACCCTTTAATCAGAGCTCAAGCAAAAGCCACCTTCGGGGGGTTGAGTTTGGGCTGCTTCTACATGAACTCCAATCTGTTTTGGCCCAGGGGATGTTCCGGTGATAGGACAAGAAGAAACGGCCTCAAGTTACACCAGGGGAGGTTTACATTGGATATTGGGAAGAATTTCTTCACTGAAAGGGTTGTCAAGCATTGGAACTGCCAGGGAAGTGGTGGAGTCACCATCCCTGGAGGTATTTAAAAGACGTGTAGATGTGGTGCTTAGGGACATGGTTTAGTGGTGGACGTGGCAGTGTTAGGTTTACATTTGGACTTGATGATCTTAAGGGTCTTTTCCAACCTAAATGATTCTATGAAATAATTTCTGGCGGCAGGAGCTGAGATGAAATGGCAGAGGCGGCTCCTGGCTTAAGGGAACCAAACACCATCCACGTCGGGTTGAGGAAGTTTGCTCTGCGCCTGCTCCTGCTGCCCTCAGCTCTCACCCCAGGGCCACCCCTCCCCATCCAGGCTGGTGGGACTGGCTGTTACCTTCACTTTTGCAAAGAAAGGGTCCTTGCCCGTCTCCACCAGGTAGAACATGCCGGTGCGGCTGCAAGCCTCCTTGGCCACGCTGTGCAGGTGGAAACACAGCGTGCTGCACAGGTCCCCGATCATCTCCTCGAAGGCAGCTATCCTCCTGGGAAGGGACGTGCACGTCCACTTGCTTGCAGCCTCCCCATGCGCCGGGACCGGCCCTCCACCCTCACTCTCCATCTCAGCCCTGCTCAGCATCACCCTGTTGAACTCGGCGTACTCATCGAGGATGACAGCAATGTCTCCCCACGAGTCCTTTAGCTTATTATCATATTTGAGCTTGCTGAGGTGGAAGGGAGCCGCGCAGCCCTGGCTCTGGGATCTGGCCCTGCTCCTCTTGTCACAGAGGGTGTCCAGCCACGGGGTACACGGGTCCCCATGCCAGCTGCTTCGCTGGTGGCAGCCAAGCCCGCTCGGCCACGTGTCAGAGGGCAGGACTGTCACCTGCAAAGGGCTCCTGCTCCGCGGGGAGAGTGGGATGGGAGCTTCTCGCACAGACAATGTCTCAGACATCGCCTGGGGAGAAAAGTCTTTTGGAAAGATGCTTTTGGAGGTAGAAAAGGGTGGTTTCCCACTCTTTAGGATTTGTTTTAGCTTATAATGGAAACGGAGACACTCCATGTCCAAAGTGTGCTGGGTGATTTCCTCAAAACCCCTCGAAGTCCCTATCAGTGACCTTAACAAATGAGACTGCCCTGAACAGTGGCTGTGCCTCTTCGAAGTCTGCAAATTTCCCATGCTCTCCTGGCACTTCTTGGTGACCACAAAGTTCCGGTAGTCCTTGGCAATCCCCTGGCTGTCCCTAATATTGACATACGGTGGAACGTGCCTGCTGCTGGTTTCCCCCGGGCCAGGTGACCAGCAGTGCTCAGCCTGTGAGCAGCCCCGCTCCATGCCCAGCAAGCTCCAGTCCTCGCTGCACCCCTCCATGTGCCCCGAGCTCGTGGAGGGGGAATTGCAGTTAGTCCTTGTGCCTGCAGCATCCGTGGATCTCGTGCTGTAGGAACCCCTGGCTGTAAGCAGGGACCGGGAAGTCTCCCCAGAATACTCCTGGTCTGAGTTGCCAGAAAAAGTCTCAAATAGATCATCAAAGGTCAAGCCCATGCATCTGTCTTTGCTGGGGAGCTGCTTTGCCCTCAGGAGCACGTCCGAAATATCCTCAGTGTCACTAAGCTTCAGGCTTTCTCCAGAGAGCACCCTGTGCACAAGTAACGGCAACGTCGGGAAGGGGAGAGTGGGGATTTCTTCCTCTCCCACCTCCATGCTGGCATGGTGCAGATCAGCAAACGCGTCAGATCCCTCGGCCTTGTGCTCACCCTGGTTGCACACAGACTGGGGCTCGCACAACGGCATGAGCAACTCCCCTGCTGAAAAAGATGCGGGACTGGCAAGATGGATGCCGCTTCCTCCTTCTGAATCCTCAGGCAGGATGGGTTCCTTCTTGTGGCTCCCTACTGCATCCACTGCTTGGCCCCCAGGGCTGGCACACCTGGGGCAGGTGCCCATGCAACAGGACCATGGGGCACTGTCTGGAACCGGACTCATGCCAGGAGAGAGCATCTTGGGGTGCACATCAAGGACTGAGTTCTGCTCAGCGCTGTGCAGACCTGCCTTGTGACCAGGTGGAGGAGGAGGCAGCACCGATCCTGGGTCATCTGGCACAAGCACATCCACAGGGGAGCTCCTCGCCGGCTCTACATGGCACAGACCTGTGTCTTTTTTCACTTCTTCTGCACATCTGGGCTTTAAGGAGCCATGCGGGCTCTTGGCAGCCACACTCACTTCTGCAGCACCTATTTGCTCGCAGGACCTCCCATGTTGGCACAGGACTGGCACCTGCTTGCTTTGCTCTAACAAGTGCGTGGCGGGGTCTGCATCTCCACCATGGGTGTGAGGGTCCTGCTGGGGGGAAAAAGCAGGAGCTGAGCCTGCGTGGGCAGGTGGGGACAGGCTGTCTGGGGAGCTCTGCTGCTGCCTAGGGTGCTCCTTCATGGCAGACATCCCCTCTCTCACCAGGGAGGAGGGCTCCGATTCCAGCAGGTCATGAAGAGAGGTCTCTGGCTCCTGCGGTGGGCTCATCACCATTCCTGCGTTCGTTTCATCGTTCCTGGGGGACTTCTCTGCATCGATGCACACATCATCGCCCTCCCCAGCTTCAGAGTTACCTGCTAAGGCTGTACAGTTGAAGGCGAAGTCCTGGCCATCACCTGCTCCCAAGGACTCATCCAGCACATCTGTCTGGTTGGCAGAAGGGCTGCTATGCTGTTCTTCCACCAAAACCTCGCTCCCTTCTTGGTTTGATTCACTGGTGCTCAGTAAAGTGAGGTCAGCATAAACGTCGCCTCCGCACTTTTGGGAGAGGCAGCTGCTCCCTCCCAGGCTACTCTGGGACGGAGACTGGCTGCTTGCCATGGCCTTCTGGTCCTCTTGAGCAGCCCCCGGATCTGTTGCTCTATCAAGAGAGGCGAAGCAGACAGAGCTGGAGTCAGGGGACGAGGTTAGTGACAGTCCCTGGCCGAACGGCGACCCGAGACCAGCTGTGCCGGCAGCTTCGCTCCCAGCAGGCACCCATGTTTCTGCAGAGGGCGCACAATCCTTGTCTTTCTGCTCCAAACTGTCCCTGAGTGTCTCCCCGGCAGCTCCCACATTGCCTGTAATGCTGTCTGGCTGTGCCCCACAGACAAGGCTTGGATCAGATGGTAACGTCAGCATCAATCCGCTGTCACAGGGCGACCCCAGATCGGCTGGACTGGCTTGTTGGTGTGCCAAACCAACACTGTTTGTCTCTGCACCTGAGGTGGCCAGAGCCTCCCAGGGCTCCTGCAGCGTGTCCAGACCTGGTGCCATCTCACCAGGAAGCTCCTGAGGGCCAGTCCCAGTCCCATCTAACAGCACTGGTGTTGATCTGCCTGGGCAGGGGAACGCCAACGCAGTGCGGCTGGGCACCGAGCCCTCTTCGGGAAGGCCAAAGTCCTTCAGACATGCTGAATTCACTGGCTTTTGCTCGCTGTTTTCATGCTCCATGTCGGCATCACCACTTTCAGAAAATGCTAAATCAACAGGCCCCAGGACCGTGCTTTCGTATTCAGAGTCCTCTTTCTCTTTTTTTCCCTCCTCCACCTCTTCCTCCTCTTTTTCTGGATGTCCGAAGGGCTCTTGTGATTCCCTCCATTCCCTGCTGACTCCATCGGGCTTTGCACTTTTGGGACTCGTTTCTAAGAGCATTGAATCACAGACATGTTGCGGTCCGTCACTGGTGGCCCAGCTGCCGTCCTCAACCTCCATACAGTGCCCAGCGTCTCCCATGTTCTTCCTTTCCTCAGGAGGGCCAGGGCCATCCCCTGACCCTGATGCCCACCCGCTCTCTTGCTGCTCTCCATGTCCACACAGCGCACTCGGCGCAGCACTCCAGGGAGCTATACTGGAACTTGGGGCTTGGCTGCATGGGCTTTCCCTGCCCAGCGCAGCTGGGGGCTTGCTGGCATTGCCAAGCTCGGTGGAAAGGCTGGAGGCGATCGTAGCATCCGGCAGCCCCTCCTTGGGCGGCTCCTCCTGAAACAACACAATTCAGAGGTTAATCTTCAAGGGAGGCAAATGCAAAAGCTGACACCCCCATGCAGGAGGACATGGACATTTTTAAATGCTCAAACTTTGTGAGTACAACCATTCCCACAGCACCTGAGGACATTAGTTTGTCTCTAAAATAAGTCTAAGTTGAATCCTTACCCCACATGAGACACCACCATCCCCACTGCAGCTGCCAAGCAGAGTCCCGCAGACAGCCAGGGAAAGGTTTTGAAACTTTCTACCTTCTTTATGCCATGAAATGCCTTAAAAATAGGCCAAACTGTGCAGGGGCCATCAGCTGGTGCCCAGAGGTAATGTATGCAGCAGCATCCTCTTATCTCTACTGTGTTTATCTATCCAAGAAAGCTATATGGACCCTACGGACAGTGATCCCACACTTCCTCACAAAACACTTCTGCCTGCTCCACAGCACTAAACCCAGGTGGTAAAAAACACTGGGATATTTTTTCCTTCATGCAAAACAGTTGCAGCCGTATGGCAGCTGCCCGTGTGTTCAGAGCAGGAGTTTTAAAGGAATTATTTCAACTCAGGCTTGAAAAATGTCATCAGACACCCATGTTTTAATTTTACCCAAGTACCTCCACTCCTGACCATCTGTAAACTGTAGAAACTATAAAAAATAATTTAAAAAACCCTACCCAGAATGGAATATTAACTAATTTTGCTGGAGAGGTGAGGGAAATGTTGCAAAGCACTGCACTGCTATCTGTGTGAGGGAAACCCTTCCAAGCCAGCAAACCTCAGCTCTCCCAAACCAGTGGAGGAAAGGCTGTGCTGTGTCCCGTGACACGTCTGGGCTCCTGCGTCCACAGGCAGACAAATGCAGTTGCCCACAGGAGACAGGCAGGCTTTTGAGTGTCAGTCTGGGGTGTTTGTGGTTCCTCTCCTCCCTCAGTTAAGTGCAGGTCTGAGACCTCGGCCAGGCCTGCACAGCTCGCAGCCGAAACCTGGGACGGATGCCGAGCTCAACACTGTCACTGCTCTAATTCTTTGGAATTCCTCCCCCTTGGAGAGCATCCATGTCAAGGCCCTGCTCCCTTGGACAGGGATAGATACAGCTTGTGCCAGAGCCCAGGGATACCAGCTCAGTCCAAGAGGAAATCCAAGCCTGGACTGAAGCTTTCAGCTTTTTTATGCTGACTCTGAGCACGTCTGCGTGGCAATAACTTGGGGCAGCTAAATGCTGGGGGGACGCTTCTCCATCCTGCTTTGGGGACCCCCACTACCTGGCTCTAAGAGAGCCCACAAGGACGTCCGCTCCACTCCTCTCAGAAGATCCTACTCCTATAAGCACAAAATGCATTGTGTGTGCTGCAGACTCGTATCACCCAAACTCCAAGCTCTTACCGCAGTGATGGTTGAGACATCATGCACACGCTCCTCAGGAATGACCGCCGGCTGCCTGTCTTTCACAGCCAGGCCCTCATCAGCATGTTCAGTGAGGGAAAGGCTCCCGGGACAGCTTGTGGAGGAAGGCTCCTCCTCCCCACAGGGCAGCTCCCCTGAAGAAGATGAAACCGTACTATCGACAACACCAGGAGCCCCATCAGCATCGGTCTGAGAGTCTGCAGGGCTCTCCTCTGGGCGGAAAGGTCCCTGGCAACGCGTGCTGTGATCCAGAGAGCTGCTGGGAGTCTGGTCAGGGTCTGACCGAGAGTCTGCAGGGCACGTCTCCAACCCAAAACAATCCTCACCATCATCACTCAGCTCAAGAAAGTCCCCAGTGCTGTTTATTGAGACATACTTCTCGGGGTTGCTGTGCTCCACCACCTTCCTCGTGCTGCTCAGGAATTTGCTGGGTTTGCTGTAGAAAAGAGCCACCCACATATGAAGTATCAGCTTCATCTCATCCACATCGTCGGGCAGATCAGGGTCCCAGGGCCTGGAAGGAAAAGCAAACACAGCTTGAAATGTCTTCATCCTCCCTCCAGTTGTTTAGCACAAGGTAACTCATCTCCTGGTTCCCCACGACGCTAAGCCCCAATGCAGGAGGGCTGCAAATGCCCAGCTGCAGACACAAATCCCTTGATGTGTTTTTTCCAGCTTGTTGAAAAAAAAAGAAACTCACAGCTGCAAAGGAGGACTTCTGTTCATGGCTCTAGGTACCAATTCTAGCTGCAGAGACACAGGAATCATAGAATGGTTTGGGTTAGGAGGGACCTTTAAAGACCATCTAGTCCAATCCCCGCCCCGTCATGGGGGAAGATGCCAGGGACACCTTCCACTAGGTCAGGTTGCTCAGAGCCCCGTCCAACCTGACCTTGAACTCTTCCAGTGATGGGGCATCCACAGCTTCTCTGGGCAACCTGTGCCAGCGTCTCACCACCCTTGGCATAGAATCATAGAATCATAGAATTGTTTAGGTTGGAGAAGACCTTTAAGATCATCCAGTCCAACCATTAACCTACACTACCAAGTCCACACTAAACCAATCAAGGGTAGACTAGACTGAACCATGTCCCGAATTGCCATATCTACCCGTTTTTTGAACACTTCCAGGGATGGTGACTCCACCATAACGAAAGGCTGCAATAAAGTCTCCCTGCAGCCTTCTCTTTTCCAGGCTGAACAACCCCAACTCTCTCAGCCTGGCCTCATAGCAGAGGTGCTCCAGCCCTTGGATCATTTTTGTGGCCTCCTCTGGACCTGCTCCAACAGGTCCATGTCTGTCCTGGGCTGAGGGCCCCAGAGCTGGACGCAGTGTTCCAGATGAGGCCTCATCAGAGCAGAGCAGAGGGGGAGCATCACCTCCCTCGACCTGCTGGCCACACTTCTTGTGATGCCAGCCAGGATATGAGTGGCTTTCTGGGCTGCAAGCGCACCTTGCCGGCTCATGTCCAATTTGTCACCCACCAGTATCCCCAACTCCTTCTCCACAGGGAAGGCACACCAGCTTTAACACAGCAACACCGGGCATCTGAGCATGGGGAAAAAGGCAATTATCATGCAAAGCAAACCAAAAAAGAGCAAAGAAAGCCCCTCCAAAAATCTCTCCAGGTATCCAGCAAGAGACATCCCCTGCAGATGGCCTTCCAGACTGACTTACCCATGCAGGGCACGGATGACGGTTTTCTCCAGGGCATCGTTGGTGTACCTGCTGTCCAAATTGAAGAGATACTCTGTCTCCCAGTGGCACGTCACCTTCACGGACTCGCCGCACACGTTCACTGTGTGGGACTTGGCGAAGTCCTCCTTCAGCCTGGGGGAGAGCAGGCTGCTCCTGCGCCTCATTGTCACAGCTTTGAAGGGCCGCTGGTGGTGGGTGCTGTTCTGCTGGTGGCGGAAAGGCAGGACTTTCCCAACCAGGGGTCCTGCTTGGGCGTTCCTGGTTCCGTTTCTGGAAGGTGCTGGTGCAGGGTAAGGGGCACCTCTGGGATACAGGTGTTTCTTTGAGTGCTCAGGCAGCTGCGACGCATACGAGTGCTCGGCAGAGATGAAGGAGTGCTTGTTCACCTCGGCAGCTTCTTGAGTCTCTCTTGGAGGCAACGCATGGGGTTTTGCAGGGCTGGGGCTCGCACTGTTCTTCTTGCTGAAAATCCCGGGGCTTTTCTCCCTGGGAATAGAGGCCAAGTCATTTAAGTCTATTTTTTCAGCAGGAGGAAGCTTCTGGTTTGGTGATGCTTTGCTAGGAGAGGTGGCTCCCTTTGCAAGCTTGTCTACCCTGTGGTATTCGTGGTCGGAAGCAACACGCAAGGATTTGTGCTTGCGATGACTCTGCTGCTCCTTTGCAGAGTCGCTGGAGGGGCTGCAGGACACAGCCATCATCCCACTGTTCCTGGGGATAAACGAAGGAATACAAGAACCCAGAGCCAGATCAGCCAGCAAGTTCAAGGCGTGGGACTCATAGTCATTCCTCTCCAGATCAAAACCGGGATCAGCAGCCCCGCCTGGGTAAATCTCACTTGTTTGGCTATCTGCTCCGTGGCATTGGGAAGAAACTTCGCTCGGGTGGACAGAGGATGGCTCCTTCCACTCTGCGTGAGAAAAACAAATTCAGAGAATAAATGAAGGCCACAGAGCTCTGCCTCAAGAAGGGGTTCAAAGCAGGCTTTCAGTTTGGCAGGAAAAAAGTCTCTCTCCAACACGGAATTTGCACACTTGAAAAAAACCCCACCTCGATGATCGTACTACAAAACCACCTTCATGGCTGCTACAAAAGGATCCAGAGTTGGGATCTAAGCAACTGCAGGAAAGGGGTTTATCCTCAGAAATAAAAGGCACGGGATCCAGAGTGAACAAAATTTCCTTTGGCCTCTGTGCATAGGGTAGTTTGGCCACTTAAATACAACCTGAGATATTTTAAGTGTTCCCTTAATCTTTTTTTTTTCCTTTAAATTTTCCTCTAGTTTGAGTATTTGCAATTTTCTCAGATAAACCCCGTGCTATGCTTTCAATAATCCACAGTCACAAAAAACCATCTCTAAAACAGAGAGAAAAACCACTCTGCTGTCATGCTTCCCACTGCACAACCTCTCAAGAGCATAACCTGCCCCTGAGCTGTACTTCAGAGCATATGCAGAAACCTGGGGGCTCCCAAAAGCAGTCAGAGCACAGCAAATTAGGTGTTCATTTAGTTTTCAGCGTTAAAAATGCCCCTCACCATGGCTCAAAGCCCACATTCGTAAAAACAGTATGAAGTCATTAAACAAGGTTAATGCTTTCTACTAAAAACCAGCACAAAAATCTTTCTTCAAGTAAAACCTTATTAAATTACATCTGTGCTAAGGTCCCACGTGTTACATTTCATTTCCTTGGGAACGGCATAGTAAAACATATAAATTATTTATTTCTAAACACTCTGATTTTGCATTTTTGGCAGATCCTGGTATTCAGCATGACCCATCTGACACCCTGCCTGTGTGAGAGCACTGGCCAGATCTGCTCCAGGAACCCCCATGTGACACAGGCAACGAGGGGCGGCGTTTGATACACACACGCTGATGCAAAGTGCCACGTTTCAGGAACACGTGGCAATAAAAGACCAAGAAGAATGGATAAACCGAGCTGAGGGGGCTAAACTAGTCTCCAAAGCCTCCGCCTCGCCCGGGAAGGGGAAAAAGAAAGACCAGAGACAGATCTGAAAAAGGACATCACAGCGCGAGTGTGAGAAAAGATGACAAATTAACAGAAAATGACTCTCCTGTTCCAGCATTTTTTTTGGCACCGTAATACTAGTTCTCAGTTTAACAGCAGACTCCCAGCCAGCACCTGCAGACGCTACGCTCAGGGGCTGTCCACGCTGCCTCTTAAATCTGCTGCAGTCTGTCTGCAAAGGCTGCGACAATTCAACTCTTTTTTAAAACGACTGGATTTACAACATAACAGACTAAAAATCTAGGCAGATGCTGGCTACGAGCAGAGGGTACAATCCTCTGTCCATGAGCTGCCTCAACACAGTTTCAGAGCTCAGCAGTTAAAAATCAGGCTTTTTAAACTATCCCAGCAGTTTGCCAAGGATGCAAACTGAGGGCTTTGGAAAGGACTCAGAAAAGACCCCGTGTGGTTTGGACGTCCTGTAACGGTGATTTGCACAGTCGCCTTCATGTTTTTACGCTATGAGTGCACAACTGGGAGCCTGCAGGCTGTGGGGCAACAGTACCCAGACACCAAGCAAGACCCTCGGCGCTAAATGTGGTAAGGCCCTTCAGCTGCTGCTGAACGTGCTGTGACTACCATCACCTGACTGTGCTGCTCGATGGCTCAGCTTTTAAAGGAATGATTTCCACAGGGAACAGCGCTCTTACCACCTTCTGCTTGCTTTTTGGCTTGATGCTTTGATGGGCTGTTAGCCACACCTTTTAGCAACTTACTTTTCACTGGCTTCGTGACAGTCTCAGCAACAGGAACTTTTTTCATGTCTGGGTTCTTCAGTGTCTTTGGTCTCTTTGTTTCCAAGCCAGGATCGTCGGGAGCTGAGGTTTCCTTCCAAACAGGTTCAGACTGTGTTTTGTGTACAAATTCTGCAGACAGGACCTCCGCACCTGGGACAAGGAAAAGGGAGGGGATTTGTTTTGGTGTGAGACATATTCAGATTAAAAAGGAGTAATTGCAAAATATCCAGTTAAGGAAAGTGGAAGGACTGCTCTAGGACAAACTGGCAGCAGCAGAGTAGTCTTCAACGACTTGATTTATGCATCTGTTCTTACAAATGGGTTTGTTACCGATGCAAGTGATCAGTAAGCAGTTATTAAAAATTAAGCATCGCTTCTTAAGCTCATTTAAAGCCTGTTTTCCTGGCCTAGAATAGGCGTTCTCGGGGGATAAGTCACTCTAACGCCTGCCTGGCACACATGCACCCTGAGGGTGCTTATTTACGTCTCCAAGAAGCACATAAGAACCTCTCCCAGATCCATCAGCAACGTCACCCAGGCCCGAGGCAATGTGTCCCAGGACAGAGCTCGATGGACTGTGAATCAGAGCTGACTTCAGCCCACAGTGGGCAGACACCATGCCCACCCCCTGTGCTGCATGACAGCCCATTTCCCCCGTCGCTGCCACTACCTGTGATGTATGTAAATGCCAGGAGAGGTTCCTTCAGATGTTTTCAGCCACGTTTCATCTCAACCCACTTTGAGTGTCTCTACAAATCAGGTGGAGGCTCAGGCTGGCTCAAAAGGACAGGCTCAGCCTATCCTGGGCAGTGAGACAAGGAGCCTTCGGAGGACAATTTATGCCATTGAGACACCTCGCGTGAGCAGCTCAGGCCAGATACCAGCTTTCAGAAGAGTAAGTTGGGTGTGATCAATCTCACACTTCTTGTTTCCTCAAGGCCACAGCAAGAAAGTTGACTCTCAGGGAGTCACGACAAGACCATGTAGGGTAGCTGGTTATCTAGGCAGCCTGTAATGACTGTGGGTTTGGCAACTGCTCCTTGCCTGAGCCATCGACAGCCTGTGGACAAGGGATGCAATAACCATGACCTGGCCGATGTCCCTATGCAGTCACTCGTAAGCAAAGGAAGACAACAGCATGGACCACTGCACCGGGTTTCAGGCACCTTCACTGAAATCCCCTGTCATAGCCCTGGGCTTCTTCCCAGGTTGAACGAGAGACTGCGGAGACATCACCACAGACGTATTTGGATGCTCTCAAGAGGCATCTACTTGCTCTGGGCACCCGGGAAGATGGCAAGGGGACGTGGCTCCTAGTGAACCCTCAGTATCCTGGCTGGATACCCTGGAGAAGCAGGAGGAGTCAGTCCCGTTATACAGCACTTACCTCTTTTCCTTCTGTGCGGAAACTGCAAATTGGCCAGTTTAAGCATGGGCTCGTTGGAGTTGGCCGTGAGGCCTGGCTTTTTAGAAAAAGAGAAAGCGATGCTGATTTTCTTCTTCTTGGTTGCTTTCCTGTTCCTGCTGCTGTCCCCCATAGGATGCATTTGCATCTTGAGGGGTGACCATTTCGTCCTGGTGCTGGTCACAACGGCTTGGCTGGATTTCCTCCTGCTCTGCTGCACCCGTAGCTTGCTGGTTGAGTTGACATCTTTTGCAGGCCCTTCACCACTCTGGTCCAGCCCCACTGTAGGCTTTGGGTTTTCACTTTTGACTTTTATTTCCACTGCTGTGTTGGGACAAGTAGGGTCCGGTGGCACAGCTGAAGAGAAGTCCACTTTACAATCAGTCTCTGAATCACAGCAAAGAGACTGAACAGCACCAGTCAAACATCCTAAGGCAGCTGACATGTCCAGAGTATAGCTGCTGGGATCGGAGAGATAATGCTGCAGCTGGGAGAAGGACTGCACTGTGCATTTTTTGAAGGGATTAGCACATTCATCCTCGGCTGGCGAGAGGAGAGAAGAAAGGGGAATTTTGCTGGTTTGGCCAGAGGTGGGCTGTAGACTTTGATCCAGCTTTGCGTATTCCTGGAAGTGCTGTTTGATACGTATGCTAGCGCTGACTCTGTCCCCCCACGAAGAATCGGTGGCTTTCTGTACGGCATAGCGAAGTCCAGGCAAAACTGAGGCTGTTTTTAATGAGATGTCACTATCTTCCCTTTCATCTTTTGGATCGTGCTTTTCAACTGCAAAAGGAAAAAAACAGAATTTTACTCATATTAAAAAAGGAGTAAATTCTCCAAATCACCTCACTGTTATATGCTAAGAGAACATGAAAGCTATGAAAGCCCCAGAAGCCAATCTACAAAAAGCTAGCCCCAGGGGCAATGTCCTGGTTTGACAGATGCTTGTAACTGCTTAAGGTAAAAAAGAATTGCACGTGGGAGTCAAAAGCGGATTAAACTAAGATGAAAGACTGCTGTTGTATCAGCTAGCCCCGTTCTACAGGAAAATACAGGGTGAGATCGCACACATAGTGGTCTAAGTCCCTTCATTCCAGCAATTCTCTCTAAATCCAACATTTAGGACAGTCAGAGCTCCAAAAACACATGGTTTTTGGGGTTTTTTTTTTAAACCTGTTTAAATTTAGGGCTGTCCATGCACGGTGCTTAGACTAGCACCATTTTCAGATCACTTGTGTTGTTTATGTCCCTGTTCACATGCAACTTCCAGCAGCTCCATCTCTACCTGCTGTCAGTGTAGGTGGATGCAGTTGACATGAAGACACACATTAGTGCTCTGGAGCGGGACAGGGAACACAGGCTTCCCCAAGCAGACCTGGGGACCGTATAAATCAAGAACATGAACCTCTGGCTGATTTTCTAAAGCTGAAGGACTGATCCTACTGAAAACAGTTGGTGCT